TTAGCTTGTTAAACTTTGATAAGGTATGGGGGGATTGCGAAAAGGGTGATTAACCAGAAAAAGCATCATGGTCTAAATCGTGTGGCACACTGGTGTGTGTGTGTGTGGGGGTGATAGTCGGCCAAGAATATCATAAGGGCAAGTTATTTAACCTCTAAGCTCCAATTACTTCATCTACAAATAAAGATATTAACGACACCATTACACAAGACTGCCTCTGCAATGTTTTTGGCATTCTGCCTGACTTAAAAGAAGCTGGGGAAAAAAGTATTAGCCAAAATACTGCTGAAGTATCACCAATAATAATGACAATGATTATCTTTATTAGCAGTAGTAAGAACAGGGGTGGATATAACGTACCCTAAGATAAGTTGGGTTAGGTGGATTCAAAACAGCTAGTTAATGAAAGGGGTAGAGAATGAAATCAGAATTAGAGTAGAGGCAGGAGTGGCTACATGAACTGTTGTGGTTAGAGTGTGAAATGGTTCCCATAGGATCACTGGTTTCAACATGTCTCCCTGCTGCTAGTGACAATGTTTTGGGACCCTTAGTATATGGTACCTTGCTGGTGGAAGAGAGTGATTAGGGGCGGGGCTTGCGGGTCCCCAGTTCAGTCCCACTTCCTGTCTGCTCTCTGCTCCTGAATGCAGAAGCAGCGTGGCATGCTATCTCATACTCATAATGCTTTGTTTCCCCACCACGGTAGGCTGCATCCCTCTCATGAGCCAGAACAAACCTGTCCTTGCATTCTTTTTGTTAGCTATTTTGTCACTACTATAAAGCATACCTAATATATTAATCTTAATCTATGTCATAACTTTGCCTGGGATGCCCTATAAGGGAAACATCCTAGGAGAGGGTTTTAGAATTAAATATGCAAGACTTCAACCTCAGCTCCGTCTCTTGTTATGTGTGACTTCAGGGAATTACAGCTTATCTCGGAGTTGCAGTGTCCTTCTGGGAAATGAGAATAACCACACCTAGACGAATGATTATACAAATCACACACAGATGCGGCAAAGAAGTACCTAGTACCCAGCAAATACTGGAGGGTGGAGGTCTTTCCCCTTCATACTAGGTTTGGCAGACAGCAAAATGGAACGTCCATCTGGATAGGTGAGAGACATAAGAACAAGTACCATGGGCTCATTGTTCAGGGAAAATGATGCCACTAGCTTCCTTACACCCCTTCCCTTTCCACCTGGTGTCTGAAGGAATGCACAGCAAGGCTGCCTGAAGTGGACCCCCACATTTCATTGCATCTTGTGGTCTTTTGGGGCTCACTGCAGTGCACCACAACCAAAGGGAAGACAAACAGCAGGACCATCACAGAAGGTCATGTCCTTACCAATGACAAATAAAATCTCAGCACACTTTTTTTTTTCTGTCCAAATATTGATGACTATTTTTTAAGCTATAAATGTCAGGGCTACAGATATCTTCTCATTGTTGCTCTGAGATGTTTACCATTTGATTTGAGTGACACAGAAGATATGCCATTTGATAGTCCAAACAAGCTCCAGAACCCTGCTCTACTGTAAATGTTACTTTCCCTGATGGAAATGTAATTCCTTTGAAAAAAGCAATCTTCCAAATCATCTCATTTCTACTCTCAATAATATTGTTTCATGCATATATTATTTTCCTTTTTCTAAACTCAAATAATATGCTTCCCCACATTTATTTCCATGCCAGTCCCAAGATTTTGTTTTCTTTAGGTGTTTTGAAGTATAGCTAATATGAATTTTGACATTTTAAGTACACTTTCAAAAGACTCTCCTCTGATTTTTACAACTGTTCCCGACACTAATATGCAGTCATGTGTCATTAGTTACTTAAATGTTTTCTATAATTATGTAGATTATGTTGACACTTTCTGGTAGGACGCTTATAATTTACTATTTCGTCGCTTGTGAAATTCTGCAATGCATCAGATAACCATTTTCAATCATTTCCAGATTAAGCAGCTGTTAAAGGCTCCTGCTGAGTTGTGGCTTCTTTCCCTCTAGTGTCGTGTCCACTCTAGGCACAGGAGGCTCATAAGTACACAGATTCTCTCTCCACTCTCACGGGGACCTATTTTTTTTTTTGTTCTACTAATGACCAAATAATGTCATTGACTGTGAGATTCACAGTCCAAGAGAAATACTGTTATGCACAAGTCTTCAGATTGACATATAGAACAGGGAATACATGTTATAATAAAGCCCTGAATAAGTGTCATGGAAGAGGGAGACTGGTAGCTTCCCAGAAGAGCCTAGGAGGAGTTCTACAAGTAGAGGATCTCCAATCTGAGTCAGGTTTAAGTAGGATTTTAATAAGTGAGATCTGGGAAGAAACCTTTCCTAGGCAGATGAGTAAATTGATCCATAGTCAAGAAGGATGAAGAGTCAAGGATGCCTATGATACAGGATGCATGCATCAAGGATGCCTATGATACAGGATGCATGCATTTGTCAGAGATACTGGAGAGCTGGCAGTCATTAATAAAGGGCATGGAAGCCACATTAGTGGGGGAAAAGCAAGTTGTGGTGTTTATTAAATGTTAAAGAAGTGATATGATCTAATTTCTTAGAATACAACAATATGACCGGCAGACACATATTTCCTTTACTATAAAAGTAGCCTTGGATGGTCATAAATGAGGAAATACCCCTTCCATGTCAACTATCCTTAATTCAAATAGAAACACATTCCAAAATGTTTCTGGGTAAAATGAAGGTATTAGAGAGACAATACAGTATTGGGAGTTATTTCCAGAGACATGTGAAGAAAACAATAAGACAAATATGGCAGATTATCATCACATTTTAACTGACAGTCTCAAAAAGGGCTGTGGCCCACTACTCTGTTGCCATGGTGATGCAAAGTGACATGAGTTTGTTAGACATGGACAATTTATGCTTGGGAATTTAATCCACTACACCTTTTCCAAATCAATGCAAGGTGACATGTTCCCATGACTTGGCAACATTTTGGTGACACTGACAGAGTACCATAACTCTGACAAATCTATACATGGTAGCAGAGCCTTGAGAATGTCTGATGTATTCATGATTCTTGATAGGTGTGGCCTTCCTAATCTATATTAAGTCCAAGTGAAGGCAGAGATGGAGGTTGATAGCTTCCTAGTTAGTTTCATAATGACTGTTACCAGCTGGTTTTGTGTCCACTTGACATAAGCAAGAATCATCAGAGAGGAAGGAGCCTCAGTTGAGGAAATGCATCCATGACATCCAACTATAAGGCATTTTCTCAATTATTGATCAGTGAAGGAGAACCTAGCCTATGGTATGTGGTGCCATCCCTGGGCTGGTGGTCCTGGGTTCTATAAGAAGACAGGTGGAACAAGCCAGGGGAAGCAAGGCAGTAAGTAGCACTCCTCCATGGCCTCTGCATCAGCTCCGGCTCCTAGGGCCCTGACCTGCTTGACTTCCTGGCCTGAATTTCCTCTGATGGTTGATGATGAACAGCAATGTAGAAGAATAAGTTGAACAAACCCTTTCCTTCCAAACTTGCTTTTGGTCATGGTGTTTCATTGCAGCAAAAGAAAGCCTACCCAAGACAATGACATTGGATGCTGCTGATAGGCCCATAAGCAAGAGAAAGGTCTAAAAATGAATCAGGTAACAAATGGATGAATATGTATATATAAATAAATGCATAATATAATAAATTATGAGTTAGAATAATACATGATACTATAAGAATGGAAAAGGACATACAAGGAAGAGAAAACATTTTTAAGTTGAAATAAAAATAAAGCAAAATAATTTAATAATTTACAGAGAAATAAAGCAAACAGGAACACAAATCAGATAAGCTAAAATGTGTAATATATCACAAATAAACAGTGATTATAGTGTATTAGTGTGTCTTTCACACACATTAACATGTGCACATACACATAGGCACATATACTCACATACAGACATGCATATGCACACAAAAAACACCATAAAATTCCCTCAAGGAACTGTTTCTTTCTCATCTGCTTCTGAGAATTGCTGGCGAACGAAGAGGAGTGGTGTAAAGACAGTAACTTCTCACGAGGACCCTCACCCATGTGATAACGCATTACCCATAAGTCTGAAAACATATCTGCCTTTATCTCAGAGCTTCATCCTGGAAGTGGAAATGGAAAGTGACCCTTTCCGAGTGTTAAGGAACTACCGAATAGAAAAAGTGTTGCAAGTGAAAGAATGAAAATGCTTGGTTCTTGGACTCTACCTGACACTATGGAAGCACAGCCTTTCTAGTCTCAGGCCATCATGATTGTTGCAGGTCTCTGGGACACATCTTCCATGGAAACTGGCATGCTTCGGGTTGACCTACTTGATCCCGTGCATTGAGAGCAGGTTTTGTACCCCTCAGTTAGGAAAGATGGAAACTAGCAGATACCTCCCTTCCTCTCCCCACTGCCAGGTGGGTGGGGAGGACGGCAATTGGTATGGGGGCAACCCACTCATCTGCACCACACAGGGGTAATTATGCATTAAATGGCACTTCTCTTCAAGGTACAATGTGAACAACCCTCCCGCTCAGCCCTAGGAACACGCGAGTGTGCAGAGGGAACAAAGGGAGAGCCCACAGCCAAACACCATTGGGAGGAAAATGAGGTATAAAGCTCTGGTATCCCCAGTGTGGGTACACAGGGGCAGCCCTCTAATAACACAGCGAACAGGCAGCCCTGAGCTGAGAGGCCACCCAACTGCATCCAACAAGAGCAGTTATGTACTCAGAGAAGCTGCTAGCGTAGCAAGTCCCTTATTTTTCAGCCCAGGGCGCCCTTGTGGCAGCCTTTTCGAAATCAGAAGGCAAGCGTGAACGAGTATTAATTCAGTAGGGAATCCAGCTTCTGTACCCATGTCCCAATTGAAGAAAACACAAGAAAGAGCTGCTGACTCTCAGCATTTCGAAAATCACCAAGCTCATGAGAACTGTTGAGTGTGGCTCAGGGCAGGATAGAGAAAGACGCAAGTTTTAAATGGGTCCCTTACCTTCTTGTCACTCAGGCCAGAAACCTGGTCCACATACTCCTCTTGGATCATGAAGGCTGCCAAGTTGGCAGTGTAGCTGGCCAGGAAAATGACAGCAAAGAAGGCCCACACTGACACCATGATCTTGGACGTGGTCCCCTTCGGGTTCTGCACAGGGACGGAGTTGTTGAACACCAGACCCCAGAGTAACCAAATTGCTTTGCCAATGGTGAAAGATGGGCCGCCTGGCTCTGGTGTGATACAAAAGACAGAGAAAAAATTAAGCCTGAATCGTTGGACCTGTTTCAGTCTGCAAATGGCCAGAGTTGGAAAGTTCCTGGCAAGAGCAGGGGGCCACTCTAATGACAGCTTTACAATTCAAGAGCATGTGTCTCTCTGGGGAGCCCGAGGAAAGCAGAAGAGAGTTTCTTAGAAGCAAATCCACAGCCCTCTCGTATGGTGAGAGGTTTCTCTAGCTAAAATTCTTTCCACCTTCATATATTTAGACCATCAAGACCTTTTGGGTGAAAGTTGAGTAATAATGGCTAACTATCCCAATATGACCACACTGACCATTTTTCTTAAAATTTACCATTGTATCTACCAAGGAAGTACTTTATAAGACATCAGCAAGAATTGTGTGAGTTCCCTTTCTACCATTGTCATAGACCTCAAGATTGAGTTCCATCAGTGCTAGATGACTAAATGTACTTTTGGCTTTATTTTCTAGCCATTAGAAGCTGATGTCTCAAAAATGGCCTTGATTCTCCTAGCCCCTCCATGCCAACACTTCCCAACTGGCCTTATGCAGCTAAAGCTTCTGTATAAGGAAGTCCGTATAAGAAACCACTGACTCTTAGCATGGCCATGTACATCTACAACAGAAACATAGCTGTTCTTGACAGATGTCCCTCTATCTGATCTTAGAGCTTCTGCCCAAAAGTGATTGCTGCTGTCCCTGCTTGGTGAGGGACCTTGTGTGTTACCTGAATCTTAGTGCACCCTTCCCCTGTAGAAATGAATGTCTACCCACAGAGTTTTGCAACATATTAGCAAAGGTCGTAGAATGTTTGCTGTGACACTGACAGCATGTGCTCAGCCAACAGCATCATCAGGGATTGCACATGTTAAACTTGCTGTTTGTGTGTGCACATACATCTGTGAATGTGGATTTGATGTCATATGATAGATGTGCAGGTGGAAAGCTGTTACAAAGCAAAGTTTTGCAAACTGCAGTTCTGTGAGGAGACTTGATATTTAGAGTAGAACAGTGAAGAGAAGTGTCCTAAGGTAACATAAGTAATCATGAGTTCTTGTGTGGAGTTTGCAAATGTGAATTTTTACATGCTGGTTTTCTATTTTTTTCCAGGGTGAGAGGGCAGTCTACCCTACCTTTGGCTTTTAACAGGGTTGACTTTTGTCTACACTTATGGGATCCTCAGATGGTTCACTCACTAGTGGTTCACTCACTAGACCCTTTCAGGTTTGACTATAGGTCACTGCTTCTAGCTAACTTTTAACATAGGTGGGAAGTCAATGAGCACACTATATTGGGGAGACATGTATAACTCCACCTCAGAAAACATACCCATCTGTAAGGTAGGCTAGCACTTGGAAGTCCATTGGTGAAGCAGTAGCTCTCAAGTTTGAACTATGAATTACACCAAAGCATGAATGGCATGTTTACTGAACAGTTGTAAGGTAACCACCCTAGAGGTTCTTATTAAACAGATACAAGGTGAATCTGGCTATTCTAATAAGACCAAGGTAAATAACCACTCTTGAAACATACACTGTCCTAGCCTCATCCTAGGTTTAGTAACTCATCAGGCTAGGTCCAAGCACCTTTCTCTTTTAAGTGCTCCTTATGCAATTAATATTAGTAGCTAAGATTAAGAATCTGTCCTCTTGGAGGTACATTTCAGAATAACTAGAATTCTGAAAGGAAAAGATTTAGAAGAAACCGCATATTTCTTAATCCTGGGGCTTTTATGAAGTTCTAAAAGAGTCATTTACCAGATTCTCATGACTCCTTCAGAAGTTCAATGAAGTTTTCAAAAAATATTGAAAGTGCTTCAGACACGGGGACAGTTTCCCCATGTTGGTGCCCATCTACTCAGGAAATGAGACCCATCCCATAGTAGCTACAAGTGAGAACTGGCCTTCCGTGTCCTTTTTATTTCAAGCACACTACTCCTAGGAAGGGGGGGCCAACGACACAGGTTGTGGAGACCCTGTAATTCAGTCGCAACTCTTTAGCTATGGGAAACTCCAGTGAACACAACAATTTTCCTATATCCTCTGGGCAGTCTAATTTTTCTTATTCTTTACTGCCTTTTCCCTCGTATGTCTCCCAGTAAACTGCCCATAACCTATGGTTTACAAGTAGTGTCCAGACACATAATAACCATCTGCATTATCAATCTTTCTTTTTAAACATTGCTACACTGACTTGCTAATGGCCCCCAACCTCACAGGAAGTAGGGAGAGTACAGGTAGCAAGGAATGTGATGGTTTTGAGTTATGAAGTGTGGGGGGGGGCAGAGATGCAGGAGTCCATGCAGCCTTACCTCTGCCGTCAGCTAGGCACCTGTTGTAACCCACAGGGCTGAAGTACTCAAAGACAAAGACAGCCACAGCAGAGACAATGAGCAGCATCACAAACATCATCACCCACACGTCAGCACTGAATGGCTCTGGGAAGGAAAGCAAAAACAGTGCTCAGGGTCAAAGCAGAGAACAAACAGCTCATCATCTCCATAATCATCTCTTTTGAGAGGAGCAAACCCACAAGTGTGCTGTGTGCCCTCAGAGAGCCACGGTTGGAGTTGGAAGATGTAAGATAAACTCAAGCAGCCCCTCTTTCACCTGGGCATGTCAAGACCATTCTTTTTTCTCAAACGCATAAAGACCGCATCTTGTTTGTGAGCCTTTCTGGGTTTGTTGGGGGGCAGTTTCTGTCACTCTTGCTGCCATATTTGGGTCTTCCGATGAATGATGCAATTGGAAAAAGTGAATATGGCATAAGTAAATGATACCAAACTGACTTTCTCTATGTCCTCATCAACACGGCCAGACCGTGAAGAAAGCCCTCCCCATTTCTTGCCAGTCTTGTGGACAGATTTGTGACAAATGTAGGTACTGCTGTAGAGTCAAGTTGGTTTGTCATACAACGAATAGCCATTCCTCTTCACCTCTGTGTCCACACACTTCTCTTAGTGTCCAGCCTGCAGTTACCTTTCCAGCCTACTCTGTTGTGCTACATCATGCTAGATATCATTAGGATATGATATTATACATTAATCAGTTAAAAAAACTATCTACATTGACTGTCAATGTCTGCAATAGCAGACATTTCTCAGGTAACAAGGGAACAGGCATGGTTTATGAATCACAAAGTAGCTACTACCTGACTTTTATTACTAAGGAATGGGCTGATGGGCTAAGACTAGACAAGAGAACAAGACTGTCCCATAAATGTTTTCTTTAGCATCTTTCATCGTATTTGCTAAATCTGTTCCATCTGAGCTAAATTTGTCTGGCTTAGAGAGACCCATAAGTTGAACACTATATTTCAATAAGCCATCCCTATGATGCCTTAGACACCAAAGAATGATGTAAATTCTGTTCCATGACACAGTGCCCCTCAATCGTGTCCCAAAATAGTTCTGGCCTTTTTAGCTGTCACATCACATTGTAAACTCATAATAAGTGAATTAACATGCTGTTTTCCCCTTCTTCCAAGTCATTAATAAAGATGAAGTTGAGACAGGGGGAAGTTGGCTGAAAATCAGAAAATATATTTCCCACTCTGAAACCTACTTTATTATTGAACTTCCAATGGGATTATAAAACCCTGGTCACTTAATCAACTTAAAACTATCCTCAACAAAGGCCCAGAGCCTAACACAGCACTGTGAAATGCAAAGCCTTCAGTGGCAGCAGGGGCTCAAAACTATGGTAAGGTACTTTTGAGTCTGCTTCATCTGGTGTAGGGAAAACTTCCTCCATCCTGGACTATAATTGGTGAAAATCCTACCCTGTGTTCATGCTTTTCTATGATTGGCCAAGAACTGAATGAATGCTTCAAATCTGTTATTTCTCCCTGCCCCCATGCCTGCCTCTTATAGCTTAGGGCAACTTTCTGCAAGCAAATGTACAAAGCATCTTTATTGATTTTTACAATTTATAAAGAATTTCCCCATGCACCATTATTTATAATCTGTTTATGGGCCTTTAATTAATGGGTGGATATATTTATTTTTATAGTAAATTAAGTATGAGAGGTCAATGTTCTTTCTACAGTCATGCTCAGAAAGTGTCAGATTGGGAATTGAGGGTACCCTGAAATGGGGCTTAGCATTCCCCACAATACTTCGTTGCATATATTTCTCTTCTACTACAATGGCTCCAAGCTGTGGAGTGGACTAGAATGAAGGCTAGGATGACCGCCATTCCTGGGCTTTATCGTAGAAATGCTGGAAAATGCCTCATTATGGATAAGAAGATTGGCTAAGACACTTGAGTAACTTATAGAAAAGTTTTATAGAATCTATAATTCCGTTTAGTGGTACATTAATGAAATTAATCTCTCACAGACAGAATTTTAATTAAGGCCAGTCACTGTCTCTTCTAATATTCCCATTTAAAAATTGTTCTTCTCCTTGTAGTGACTGCGGCTAGTCCAAAGACTTATAGCTTGTTTATGGCCAGACAAGGCTTCTTGTCTCCTAGCCCAATGTTTTGTTTTAGAGGTGACATTTTATTTTCCAACCCCTGGCTCCATGGCCCCAGGGGAAATTTTAATACCATATCATATATATGGTATGAGCTCACGAAAGAACTCATCTAATTGAAATTGAGGCCTTATTTCACCCAGTCTTAAATCATATATAATGCTTTCTACATTTGAGGGATGCTAGAGAGTGGTATTGGGGAAGAAGGGGAGACAGGGAATAAGAACAAGGATCAGATGAGCTCTGGCTAGAAAAGTCTCAGAAACTCGTGGAAAATGTTTATGTGTGTTAGCCCTAAGCTCAATTCTTGAAGATAATTAAACAAACAAATAGGTCTTTTGATGAGGTAATTTGAATGAAAATGATCCCCATAGACTCTTATATTTCCTTGATTAGTCCCCAGTTGATAAACTGAAAAGAATTAAGAGATGTGGCCTTGTTGGAGGAGGTGTGTCACTGGGAGTGAGCTTTGGGATTTCTAAAGACTATTCCAGACCCAGCATCTTTCTCTTTCAATACCAGCTGCCTATGGATCAGGATGTAGAGCTCTCGGCTACTGCTCCAGCGACATGCCTGCCTGCTTTCTGCCATGACAATAATGGATTAACTCTGAATTTGTAAGCAAGACCCCAGTCAAAGACTTTCTTTTATAGGATTCACCTTGGTTGTGGTGTTTTCCACACCAAAGGGTAGTAACTAAGACAGAAGATATCTATATATAGAAATTTTTATTGCAGAAAGAAGTCTTATAAGTCAACTGATTGAGATGCTATAGTCTGTGGATGAGGAAAATAGAGTCCCAGGATGAAGCAATTTTGTTCAAAGTAAAATGAACAGTAAGTGATGAAAAGGGAACTATATGGGACCTCTGATGACCATTCTCTCAGTGTTTTCTTGTAGGACAACACACCTCCCTGATTTCTAGGTATTCTTAATTTTTGTGTTTAAAAATAACCAGGTGCCCCCAATGAATTCTCTGTCTGAATTAACCTCTTGACAAACCATGTCCCGCAATTGTTTCTCATTCCAGCTACGTGTCCTTGAGTCAATTCCTGTCATCAATAAACATGTGATTTACCTAAGAAGGCAGAAGGTGACACAGTCCCGTTGCTGCGTGATACCATGACACTGATGCCAGTCTCTATAAAGGGCACAGAGAAGTCGACCACCTCTGATCGTTCTTCATTGATAGTTAGTGACCCCACTGCCATGTAGGCCCTCTTCATGACCACCTGAAGAAAAAGTACAGTGCTTCAGTTATAACATTGTAGCAGGCAGGTCCACCACAAGCAAAATTCTCAAGGCTCAGCAGAAACTTGGGCACCATCTCTAGCATACCATTCACCTCCTCTGTGAGACTGTTGTTGGCCTGGAGCTCACCAATTTAGGTAGACTGGGTGGCCCTCAGGCCCCAGGAACCCTTCCCAGTACTGGGAGTATAAGCACACACCACTGTGTATGAAATTTTATTTGGGTTCTGGGGATCAAACTGAGGTCTATGAGGTAAGCATATTACTGGCTGAGCTATTTCTTCTTCTCTCTAGTTACTATTGTACGTATTGTTAAATTCATAAGATAATTAACAAAATTGAAGCAACACGTAAGTGCATAATGGAGATGACTTTGTCATGGCCTTGCCTTCTGATACTGACCTCACCAATCATGCCATTCCAGGTCCCATTGATTTTCTTGCCATGCTTGCCATTGGTCACCAGGTAGAGGTCATAGGTGAACTTCACAGACTTAGAAATTTTCTTAAGGATATCGATACAGAACCCCTTGCAGCATTTTTTGATGTAGCCTGGTTCCTCATCTGTTTTATTCCTACCCAGTTAAAGACAACAAAAACACAAACAAATAGAGCAAGACTTTGTGTAAGAGGGAAAAATTAGCTTTTCATTAAAGTTCCAACCTCAAACTCCACCCCTACAGTAAGGTCATTCTTGCATAAGGAAAGGTATCAGATGGAGAACTATTGTATTTTTTATTATCTCAGTATCCTGAGCCATACCATGGCAAAATTTTTCAATGTTTCTTGGACATATAACATGGATGAGGAAAAATCATGTATCCTACAGGCTCAGCTTAATGAGTTTTTCATTGAGTTCATGGTTTTTCTCAAACTCCAAATACAGAAACAAAATGCCTACCAGATACTGAGAGACCTTGCACTTGTCCATTCGAGATGCCTCTCTTCCCACCCTCATCCAAGAGCATTTTAACCCTAACTTTTGAGAGTATACATCAAGTGGAATTGTTTCAAAAATAGGCCTAATTCTCAAAATGCTGGCTTAGAGAGAACTTATTTCCACACTCAAAGAAACTTAAAACTTAGTAGACTTGAAGTCCCAGTCACTGAGATTGGGCAAGGTCAAAGGAACCATGACAGAGCTGTCATTGTCTCAGGACAGGGATTTAGATGGAGTCCCACATCTGATCAAAGCTCCCATTGACGCCAAAGCCTAATGGCAGCTGAGAATTTCACAGAGTGCCTAACTCCAGAGCAGCAAAGAGCATATGTTACCCTCCCCCAGGCCACCTATAACCCTCCATCCAAGGAGACCTCCTTCATACTCAGAGATGATGCGCTTCTGGCAGGGGACTGTGTTCCTCATGCAGGTTCCACTGAGAGGGTCCACACTTTCCACAATGACAAATGGTGCCTCCTCCAAGGTCACAATGCTCAGATGGTCATCCTCCTGCTCTTCGGTCTCAGGACACATTCGAGGCCACACATAATATTTCATCTGCAGGGACTTGTCTTTCCATTTCCCCACCTGCACAGAGATGAACAAAGGAGTCAGCCACCACAGAGCACTGTCTCATACCTCCTCCAGTCTTCTCTGAACTGTCTCCGGAGCCGTTACACAAAGGCAAACCAATACCAGCACAGCACACGATGGGGAGAAAACTTTCTAAGACAGATACTACGAATGAAATGACTGTTCATTCATGAGGAGCAATCCTTTTATTCACTTACCCTCTCACTCAGTATTGAATGAGGACCTACAATGATCTGGGCATCCTCTAAAACCCATAGCTCCTGTATCAAGAGCTGGAAAATTCTTGACTCTCCTAGGTCACATGGCTGTGGGGTTGGTTTGTTTATTTGTTTTACTCAACTATAATAAGAAACATAATACTGAGATCAGCAAAGAGTATTAGGAAAGATAAGAGCTTGCCTGTAGCAAATGAGCTAGGTCGATGTGCTCTGAGTTGTAACGGAAGTTCGCTAGGGAATTGTTCAGAGAACTATGAATCTCTGATTTGCAAGGTTATGTTGTGAGGAAGGAATACAGAAACTACTTGCTTGGAGAAAGGTGTGTGTTTGAACTTGTGACAATTGCATGCCTCAATGCAGAGTTGCACTTGCTGAACTAAGAAGAGACCCTGGGATGAAACAGATCGCTCTCTCTGTGAGCAGTCATGTGGGGTCAAAAAGACTATGCCACCCATGATGGAAAAACCACCTTCATGACTCTAATGCCAAAGGAGTGCATTCCCTGAATGATATATGGCAGATCCTGCTGTCAGTTGTCATGGGAAATGTGTGGGTTCATTTGTCTTGTGGCAGAGGCCTTCATCCATGACTTTACATAGAATGCTTACGGTGTTGTTGTTGGGTTCTTGCTGTCATGGTACCAATGTGTTCAAAGGGGGGGAAGAAATAATTTTAATTTTTGAATAACTGAGCATCCTCAGTTGCCACAAGAAAATAAGGTATCTTTAAAGTCTACAGTTTCTTCCATGTTGTTAGAGTGATCCAGGAGAGGTACAAAGCCTGTGAAACTATTAAGTTTATGGAACTCCAGCTATCAGTTAAAAGAGGTGTATCAACAGATTAACTTCACTTTCAAGCAGATGAGCGTGTACTTCTATACTAATACCAACTCAAACTCCATTTCATCTTAGTTCCTGCTTTTGTCTGCACTCAAGTGTGCTTAGTTCCTCCCTCTAGTTCATTCCACAAAGCTAATCACTTTACTCCCATGGCAAAAGTAGGTCCCCATAACCACCACCTTTTTTATTACATTTTTATAACATGGGCACTGATTTTGTGTCCTGGACTATCTTGTTTTGCATTTGCACAGTTTTTCTCTGGTATTAGCTCTGCTGTAATCTGTTTTTTATCCCCAAACTATTTTATAACTTGAAAATATAAGGTGAAAATGATGTATTAAACACATTCTTGACCTACCACATATCATCAGACCCAAACTGAGAATATAGCTACACACACATACATTCTCTCTCTCTCTCTCTCTCTCTCTCTCTCTCTCTCTCTCTCTCTCTCTCTCTCTCTCATGCACACACACACAAACACACACTTGTCTGCACACATAGAGAAGATAAGTAAAATAAAATGAAATATCACTTCTATTGGGTACAAATTACTTTGATGTCATCACAAAGTTGAAAAATCATAAGCTTTCCTAAGGTGGGGACAGTGTGCTCTTCAATAAACTGTTGATCTTGATTTTGTTTCAAATCTGCTCACCTCACGTTGCTGAGGCTATCTCAAATGACTTCCCGGACACATGGAGAGCCTTAGAGAGAAAAAACACATCCTTGGAGGCCCATCCATTTCTAAGCAATTATATTTACTCCAGGGGCCAAAGCAATATTATTTTATGTGTGTTTGATTGTGTGGGAACAGTTGAAAAGCTTTAAAGTGCCCATTTTTATTTATTTAAGTCCTATCACCTTTCCTCAATAAGCCCTTTGGCCATTTTTCTTTTAAATATAACTGTATCCTCTTTATTGCAACTAGCCTATGCTAGGGAGGTCTAGCCTGTGATGCCTGCAGGAGTTCTGAGCTTACATGGTTGCCCCCCACCAAGGATGCTATAGACACTTCTTCCAGGTGGCTTTCTTAAATAATAACTTGGAATGCCTTAGATTAGCTGTGGAATGCTTTCAGCACAAACATGAAGACCTGAGTTCAGATCCCCAGAATGCTCCTGTAAACCCAGCTCTGGGTGAGCAGAAGGAGGTGGCTTCTTAGAGTTGACTGGCCAGCCAGCAGCCTAATTTGAGAGCTCCAGATACAGCAAAAGAGCCTATCCTGTCTGCTTACAACTTCCATATACACACATGTGCACACACCAGCATAAATACACACATTACACACAAACACACACACACTCCCCTCACGACTTTGTCATACAATGTCCATTCAAAAATTTCAACAACTTCTCCTTGTCCTTAGCATTGGGCCCAAATATCTGGCCTACATGTTCAAGTCCTGCGTGTGAGTCTAGCCTACATCTATCTAATTAACTTCAGTTCCATGGATCATGGGACTTTGGAAAGGAAGTCTTTTGATTTAGGACATTCAACATAGGCCAGCCAGCAACAGATTGTAAGAAAACAGTATCAATTTCTTTGCTAATAAACTTAATGTATCTGTGGGAGAAGATGCTGTGGAGAGACCTTTTTGGCAGTTCCCCTGACATTCTTGTGAACAAGATGAACTACAACATGGATTACTGCATACTTTGACAGATTGAGGAGTAGTTTAAAATCTATATCCCAAAATAAAAGAAATGATTGTTTAATGAATCAATGTCAACAAAGAGAGAGGTTTTTAGTGACATGTCAGGGGACTCTGCTCTTAGAAGTGACCTATGTAGTGTTTTAGAGAACAAAACTGATGCTGTGTTCAAGAAATTGCAGACAATAACCTAGTGAGGACAGATGATATCACACAAATTGCTGAATCTTTTGGGAGAGATGCAAATTAATTGGATGACAGATTGAACCAAATGGAATAACATGCGATGTTACTTATTCTAAAACTCTAGCATTCATATTTTTTCCAAAAGCAATTGTTCTGAAAAGAAGATATTTCAATCAATGGCAGTCTATAAAAGCTATTATAATAACAGATGATATATTTATAGATGTACAGTGTCTAGCACATGGGGTGAAGGGAGGGCACAGATGATCCCCTCTGTGTTTACAACACCACAGGAGGGAAACTCAGTTCTGAGCCTGTAATTCTATGGTCTCCTGGCTTGTATTAAATATGCTGTTCTTATTTCCCCAACGATAAGTTGTTCACAGAATTATCTCACACACCCTTTCCCAGACCAGTAGGATGACATCTATGTTTCACGTCAATTCAATTCAACAGTAATTATGTACCAGTATGTGGCAGACACTGGGTTGCATGCTCCTAGACAACCAGACCACATGATATTTATTGGGGGCGGAAACGTGCCAGGCTTTGAACTCATCTAATAATCTCATTCATCATTGCAGCTAATCTGGGAGATAGCTTCCCTATTGATATCTCAGCCTATAAAAAGATTTGCCAACTTTTAACATACCAAGCAGGATAAATGAGTGTTGCGTGCCACATCGGGACTTGAAGCCAAGCAGTAGGACTCAAAAAGTCGCACTCCTACGATGACTGATCTCTCAAGTCTTTGACAGTGAAAGAGTAAGACACATCTTCTAAAGACAGTCCAGAAGGGACCAATTTGACTGACAATATCAAGCGAGGCTTTGACAACAGCCTCCATGGAAGGTATTACTTTTGGCATTCAGAGTAGAGGTGATCATTTTGGGAAGTCACAGAGACACCTCATAGAGACACCCACCGTTTTTGAGCTGGACTTTAAAACAAACCATAGCCCCAGAAGTAGAGAGATCTCCATTCCTTGGATTGGCTTTATTCTCTTCTTCCTAAAGTTCTAACAATCATTACTCCGCAATCTTGGTCACTCTCAAGGGGTCCCTCAACTGTGCTCATCTCTTCCCATGCGCTGGCTCAGTGGCATTGGGCAGGTGGCTTGAACAGAGTGTAGACACTATGAAATTGTTAAATACTACAGATCAGGGATTCCCTTGCTCACTTTGCCTGTGTTACCAGCTTCCATTTGCACAAAATCACCAACTACTCTAGTTCATGCTAGCTCCTTCCTTCTTTAATGGTGGTTTTTGTTTGTTTTGTTTTGTTTTTGGAGTTTTGCTAGTGTCCTGTACTCTTAACCTAAGTCCTGAAAGTATTCAATAGGATTCCAGTGGCCATGGATAGATGTCTAAAACTCTCAGGACCTTGCTTTGCATATCCAGAAAAATGAGTGACTTGCTTTCTTTGTCTCACACGTTAATTTCATAATCCCATGACCCACTCTGGAGAAAGGCTTTTACGGCACTGTCTGCAGATAATGGTCAAGGAAGAGGTATTTTTCATGGCCAGTTTTTCAAACAAGGGCAATATCGGAGTTCTTGGTACAAAAGACTCTTCTGTCTTAACCATGATTCTTTTCCTGCTTGTTTATTTAATGAACAAACTGATGTAGACAATTCTCCACATATCAACTCCGATCTTCAGATAGACATTTTAAATTAGTTGCTTTCTTTGCTGGGAAGCAAACCCAGGGCTTTGCATATTTTGAGTGCTTTGCTCTACTAGTGAGCTACACCTCAACCCCACCTCACATTCTCTATAGAGCAAGGCGGGTTATTTCAAATGATAAACACCTAAAATCAAAAATAAAGGGATGCATGTAAGTAGAAAACACAGGGTATGTCTCAAGCAGCTGATCCTTCAGCTGGAGAGACATGTGGTGAAAACACTACACACAGAAATAGTTGAAAGAGAAGGGAAGGGTGTGAACAGAGAAGTCCCCTCTGAGAGAACGTTTTTTGGAGGCTTCTCTAAGGAGTCTGGAAAGGTCTGTGTATAACCCTGGGAAGGCAGACAGTGGTAAGAAACTAGATTAACTAGAGCTATTTCAGAGAAAATCCGAGGTAAAAAGCAGAAGGA